AATGGCTAACACTTCCAGTACTATGTTGAACAGGAGTGGTGAGAGGGGGCACCCCTGTCTTGTTCCTGTTCTTAGGGGGAATGGTGTTAGTTTTTGTCCATTGAGTATGATGCTGGCTGTGGGCCTGTCATAAATGGCTTTTATTATGTTGAGGTATGATCCTTCTACTCCTGCCTTACTGAGAGTTTTTATCAAAAATGGGTGTTGAATTTTGTCAAAAGCTTTTTCTGCATCAATTGATATGACCATGTGGTTTTTTTCTTTCAATTTGTTTATGTGATGTATCACGTTTATTGATTTGCGGATATTGTACCATCCTTGCATCCCTGGGATAAATCCTACTTGGTCATGGTGTATGATCTTTCTGATGTACGAAAAAAGTCTGCATTATTAACTGGTACATCTGGTAGACACACTCCCCCACCTTTTTATTAAAGGTTCAGTTCATTAATTTTTAGCCTTCATGGCATTTCTCATTTTTTTATTATTGAACAGGTTAAAGAGTTGTCGACTTATTTTTATAGTAAAGGCCCAGTGCATGGATTCGTGCACTGGTGGGGTCCCTTGACATATTCTGCAGGGATCAGGTTGAAACCAGCAGTCCAACACTGCCTGTTGCACCTGCTTGCCGCTCTTGCTCATTCCGGCTTCACTTCATCTCCCGCCACCACTGCTGCTTAGTAGGCTCACTGCCGCTCTGCTGTGGTCTTTGGGCTGCGGCAGCCAGCTGTGAGCTCTGTGTCTGGTGCCCGTCTGTCAGCTGATTGGCACTCCCGCTGTGGGAACGCACTGACCACCAGGGGGCAGCTCCTGTGGTGAGTGTCTGCCCCCTGGCGGTCAGTGTGCATCATAGCGATTGGTCATTGGGTCGCTTAGGCTTTTCTATATATAGATGTACAAAGTGACATGCACATTAATGGTGAAGGAATAATAATTTGGCCTTTTAGGACCCAGGTGTTTTTTTGTTTCTGAACTAAATATAAGTTTGTAAAATAGAAAGATTTGAATAGTGGTTGGGGTCTATAGATAGAAGTAGTAATAAATTTGCCTCCAAATCAATTAAATTACTTGACTGCTAGTGTGTGGGTGGTTTTGTGTGTAATGAAAACACTGAAATTAGAGCCAGGAGCTATGAGTTTTGCCGCTGGCTTTGACAGTCACTAGTTTTATGGCTTTGGGCAGGTCATCTAAATCCTTGGGCTGCTTTTAAAACAGCCCAACTGCCCAGCTGGTGTGGCTCAGTGGTTGAGTGTCAACCCATGAACCAGGAAGTCAGGTTTTGATTCCCAGTCAGAGCACATGCCCGGGTTGTGGGCTTGATCCCCAGTAGGGGTTGTGCAGGAGGCAGCCAATCAATGATTCTCTCACATCATTAATGTTTCTCTCCCCTCCCTTCCTCTTTGAAATCAATAAAAATATGTACTAACTAGGCCTGGCCAGCGTTGCTCAGTAGTTAAGCGTCCACCTATGAACCAAGAGGTCCCTGGTTTGATTCCCAGTCGGGGTTTCAGGCTTGGTCCCCAGTAGGGGGCATATGGGAGGTAGCCAATCAATTTCTCTCTCTCTCATCTATGTTTTTATCTCTATCCCTCTCCCTCCCTCTCTAAAATCAATAAAGACATATATATTTTTTAAAGTACTAAGTAGGATCATAGAATTTTCAGAGTTGAATGAGCCTCAGAAAGTGTTCAGGGAAATCCCCTTCATTTTCCTAAAGAGACTAAGTCATGGTTAGTGAAATCCATTATCACTAAGCAAGGACTTATTGCTTCTTCTCATTATGGTAATAAATGCTTTTAATTTTTTTATGCTGATTTAAATTAACATTTTTTATTTCATGTACTGACTGGTGTTATTTATTGGAGTAACAGTTATAAAGTTTTCATTTGGATTAACATAAAAAGTTAGTTATCACAAGCATGTTCATTGAATGAATAACTGTTGAGCCAGATTTGTCTTTTATGGTATTTGGTGTATGAAAGGGTGACTCTCAAAATATCTAATTTTAAGAGGATTACCCCCTCATTAGAATGTGGTCTAGTAACTTAGTATTAAATCTTCCTCTTGGCCACTTGGGCTGTACACCTCAGTGATTGAGAACATTGGATTCTAGAACCAGATTTCCTGTGTTTGAATCCCAGCCCTGCATGTACTGGTAATGTGCCCTGTGCATGTTAATTAACTTTTGTGTACTCTGGTTCCTCATTTGTAAAATGGGAATAATTATAGTGCCTATCTCATGGGTTACTGGGAGATTAAATAAACTAATACATATAAAGTGCTTCAGAGAGTGTCTGGCACAAAATAAGTGATACATATTTTAACTAATACTATTGTTAGGCCATGATTGCTTCCATTTAACTTGTCAGCCGAAATAAGAAGATAGTATGTTACATATTTCATGTATATTTCTTTTTTAAAAACAATTTGATATAATTCCATTTTAGTGAGTTTTTAAAAAATATGTTATAGATTTCAGAGAGGAAGGGTGTGGGATAGAGAGATAGAAACACCAATGATGAGAGAGAACCATTGATTGGCTGCCTCCTGCAAGCCCCACACTGGGGATCAGGCCTGCAACCTGGACTTGTGCCCTGAATGGGAATCGAACCGTGACCTCTTAATTCATAGGTGGACTTTCAACCACTGAGCCATGCCAGCTGGGTGCTTTTTTTTTTTTTCCCAGACAAGAGCTCTTGCTCATTTTATTCAGAGATTTATATTTAGGAAATGTCAATATAATCTGCTTTAGGTAGAAACAACACAGACAAAAAAGAAATAAAATATCATTATATGCCTGTTACTGAGTGTTCTCATATGTTTTTTTTAAAAAGACATTTAAAAAGTGTCATTTATGATGCTCTGCAGTATTTTACAGTATTAAATTATATTACTTAATTTCATATAATTACAATTTTTAAATTCTCAGATTTTTTTAAAGCTGGAAGGAAAGTAGTAAATCATCAAGACTAAATGCTTCACTTTATAAACAAGGGAATTGAGGCTCCAAGAAGTGAAATGACTTACCCAAAGTCACCGAGACTAGAGCTGGCAACCTCTCAAGTCGATTGTTCTTTCTTTCTTCCTTGATGCCTGCTGTTCCACTTTCAACTTGTACTGTCATTTATCAAGCTTTCTCTAAACTACTGTCTATAACAGAACATCTAGCTGGATAAGATGTTGAGTGTTTTTTGTTTGTTTTTCCAAAAAGAAGGCTTTGATTAGTAACATTTCACTCCTTTAGGAAACGTGTAATACTGTCCCTATTTATTTCAATTCAGTCAAATGTCCCTGGATGAATTCTTAGGTATATACTCAAGGGAGCAGGTTAAAACACACACATATACACACACACACACACACAAAAGAGGTATTATTTGCCTTGTCCAACTAAGAAAGGAAATTTCATGGCAGATTTTATTAATCAGAGTGATCAAACAGTTAAATTGCAGCCTATATTTTGTTCCTAGAGAATTTGAATAATCAATTCCACCAGTCTGCTATGCATATGATGATATGTAAATATTTTAGATGTGCACTTACAGAATCTATGGCATATACCCTGATATCTTGGTTATATATTTCCACTTTATCTGCTTTTAATCAATATTCATTTATGGTCTTTTTCTGGATTATGGTTGATTAAAAGTGCTAGACCATATAAATAGAAGTATGACCATACGTTGCTTTTAAAAATAAATGATCGCCAAGTAACGTGGTCTAAGTAAAATGTTCTCTTTTTCAATTATGTAGTCCTCCTCGCCATCCTCATCACAGCCTCATTGTAGCCACTGCAGAACGAAGGCCTCATCATTGTGTCACCATGCATCCCTGCCCTGGGTCAAACGTAACCATGTAGACCCTGCAAAGGCTACCAGTCCATCTCTCCGTCTTCGTCGCTGGCGACCCTTCTTACGCCTACCATCTTTGGGTCTCCATTCTGTTGTAAGTGTAGTCAATCTTCCATCTCTTCTTCCAGTGACAAGGGCAGTCCATTTTTTCCCTTAAACTTCTTCAGTCTTCAAAATGCTTTTCTCTTGGTTCATTCAACCATTAGTTTTCTCTCCCAGTAAGATTGCAAGCATACCTCCATGCTTTGCAGTCTAGCTTGACTTTCACCAATGCCTTGGTGAAATCCACCTTTCCACTTCATATCCTACCAATGTAAGAATGCCTGCCTTTTGATGAGTGTTAATTGACATTCATGATAATGTTTACGTTCCTATCATTCATTAAAGTGAATATGTATTCTTTTACCCTTCATCTTTCTGATTTCATTTAGTTGACTCGGGTCAACAAATGCTGTGTACCTTCTGAGTTCTATACCATTTCTTTTTTTTTTTTCATGTTTCTGAACATGACTTTAGGCTCTTGTCATGCTCTGGGGTGCTTTACTTACTCTATCCTTAATCTAATACTTCATGGTGTAGGGTGTTTCATCTAAGCTATTTTTTCTTGAGGTGGCTCAGGTACTTGGTTTAATCTTGATCCAATCTTCCTTGCCTATTCAGTTTAAAGAACATCTTTCCAAGTAAGAGGCGAAGGTTTTTTTCCTTGTGAATTGATGTAGGCTTCCCACAAATTTTAGGATTTCTCCTACTTGAGTAGATAATATTAGCAAACTATTTAAAAGTGTATATATATGTTCTTATAATCTTGCTAATTTTCTTAAATGTTGAGGTTGATGATGGAATTCTAATTATTTTCATAATTGAAATAAACTGCAGGTTTCAGCAACTACAGCTCTTGTCTTTCTGATGTTTTAGACTATTAGTGGCAATGACTTTGGATTGGTTGAGAGATTTGGTATATGCCATACATTTATAAGAAACTTGACACTTCTATAAATCATCATGACTTTCGAAGCCAAAGGAAGTCTGATTACACATAATGTTTAATGCTTAAAAAAAAATTGGTGTCAAACATTCTTTCCTCCCTTTACTTACTCTTCTAGAGCTATATTCAAATTCTGAAGTGGAGTCGTGGCACTTTTCCTTAAACATCTGCTTCCTCCAAATAGCAGTATGATCATCAAAAGAACCTTTGATTTTTGCTGAGTATCAACAAAACTGGTGTCTCTGTGTTTCATTATCTTCATTGGGTCACAGTGTGTATTTGTCATTTTTATTCATTTATCATATTTGTTGTTTCCCTACTGTGCCAATTTATACAGTAGGAGATATAAGGTGAATTAAATGATCAGAGTAAAACCCTAATTTTGTAAAGTCTGTTTTAGGCATAATTGATTCTAAATATGAATAAATTCCTTTGTACTTCAAATTATTCTAAATATAAATGAGCATATCATAAAATTTGTTTTTTCCAGGTTTATGTGTTTTTATATAATTTTGATCTTTGCTCAATATTAATTCCATTGCTTTATATCTTCATAAATATTTTCATAACCTAGTGGTTAAGCACACAGATTCTAGAATGACACTGCCTGGATTTGTGATCTAGAACATGTTACTTAATGCTTCCATGCCTCAGTTTTCTTGAGAGTAAAATGGGTATAATTATATTACCCACCTTGCAGGGTTTAAATGATATTTAATTGGTCAGTACATTTAAGACTTAGAACAGTGCCTAATATATATTAAGTACCTTACAATTATTAATTAAATTTCAACCATACCTTTTTATAATTTGAAATATCTGTTTAGTATTTACTTTCTATCTAATTCATTTGTTATATTACTTTTTAATTATTTGTGATAAGTATTTTATTCTAAATTAGGGAACTTTATAAAAATAATATATATAAATGTAGGCAAAAATGATCCAAATTTATAGCTTCTGTTTTTTGCCCTTTGTTTATTACATGTTGGTCATTTTTTTTAATGAAAAACTTATTGGAATTTGCTTTTTATTTATTCTTGTTTTGGGGTGGAATCATTTTTAAGCAATGAATAATTGCACTTTTCAGATTACACATAGACAAAAGGAAAAGGCTCATAGCAACTACTGACACACAATTTTGAGTCACTAGATTTAGTGATTTCTTATATTTTGTGATAATGCAGTATTAATATTGTAATAATACAGAATGTTTAGTATCACTTAACAATTTACAAAGTAATACATTTCATTTAAACCTCAAAACAGATAACAAAATCAGTGTTTACAGGGATTGAGTATATATGTTCATTTCTCTGACTCCAATTATACTACTTTTATCTTTAGCACAATTATATTTACTGGCAAGATAAGAAAAATGGAAGCTATAAGATGCAATATGCTTAGAAGAAATGGTGTTAAAATATTTTAAAATTTTTGAAAACATAGGTCAAAAGATTTAAAATACTTGATATCCTGTTGGAGAATCGTATCTTAAAATGAGAAAACCAGACCTTTTCCTAGTTGGATAAACAATTCTTTCTGGCATTTTTTATAGAATTGAATTTATCATTTGTAGAATTGCCTAGGTTTAGCCTTGAAAATTTGAATTCTCTTTTGGTCATTGGTATTAGATTGAGCAATCAGTAATACATTTGATTCTCTGACCAGGAAAGTAAGGGAACTCATTGTCACCATCTTTAATTATTTGAAGAAACATCATGCTCAGGAACTATTAGACTTTTTATTAGATGGTGGAAAACACTGGGAAACATATTTTAGCTTCTGTATGAGGGCCAAAGATGGAATGGATTGCTTCAAAGTCTAGTGACAGTTCCCTGTTGTTGGAGGGTCTACCAAAAGTACGGGCTGTGGTAGAGAGGAGATTAACAACAGTAACCTAGATGACTTGATTGCTACCAACTTCAGAATTCTTTAGTTCTATGTTGAAGTTAGGGAGAGCTAGTTTGCCACATCAATTTTTGTTCCTGTTTTCTCATTCATAAACTTGAAGAAAATAATTTCTGAAGAATAATGTGAGATTACATGAGTCACTCTATCTGTAAATGTTTTAAGAGCATTCAGTAAATCCAAGATAATGTTTCTTCTGTATCTTTCAATTTCTGCACCTGAAAACTTCACATCACAACTACTTAAAATTATGTAATTACTAACGAATAAAAAAAATACACGTTTTAGAGTTAAGCTACTATTGTGTTACCGGATGTTACATAATATGAGAAGTAATTTGATTTATGTCTTGTGAAAACTTTTTCTCTAAAATGTGTACTTGCATTTAACACTGATTGTACTTCATTTCACACCATTTAGATTCGATAAATAGTTAACACATATTTGTGTTAACTGTAGTTACTGTGTATTAAAGACAGTGTGAGTGAATCATGTATTGACTTTGCATAAGTTACTTGAATGTTTAACAAATGTAGCAGATATTGCTCATGAAAATTGAATTTGGTAAGCCAAAGTAGTTTTAATTTCAAAGCGTTTACTAAGAAAGCAAGAGAAAAATTATAGGCTACAGTTAGTTGTATTTTAATTTGCTCTTATCCTTATTTTCCCCCTTTAACCTTTTGGGTTATTTTCCTGAGTCTATTCATTTATAAATCTTTTGAATGTAGGATGAGTAAAGACACTTATTTTACTCTAAAACTCTTTATGTTCTATTTTTCAAAAAAATAATATTATCAAAGTCAAGTTATTAAGGGAAGAACTCACTTTAAGTCTTAAAACTTAGAGTTTTTAAAACTCTGTTTATGCTATTAAAATGTAAAAGATTTTCTTTTTCAAATTTCAAAAATTAGACAAATCACTTTATGCATTTATTTCATTCAGAAAGTGTACATTGCATATTTACTATATATATATACCAGGCATTGTATGAAGTGCTGGGCCTTTGAAGGTGAACAAAGCTTTAGATATTTAGATTGTTGAGATTAAGAAAACTGTGCTTGTCATTGACATTTTTCTTGTTGATGGGTGAGCACGTTGTTATAAACGTAAACATATTTACTCATTGTCCACTATATCAAAGGTTAAGCCTTTAATTATTTTGGATAAATGTTCTCTGATGTGATTTGATACTTGTATGTGTTTACATGTACTTGCTTGATTTGTTTGACTATAAACATATGTAATATGTATGTTTCCTCCTATTGCAGGCACCAAATATAGATGAAAAAGTAGATCTTCATTTTATTGCATTAGTTCACGTAGATGGGCATCTCTATGAGTTAGGTAAGAACTTTAAAAATTTACTCTGGGGAGAGAAATTGGAAATGAAAAAGTCTGTATTTGTGATAAATGGGATTGTTGGTATTTATTATTTACTTAAATTAATTGATTGTGTTATAGCATTGAACTGGCATAATGAAAGTTTTTCATTTAAGACTTCTTACTAGAAAAAATCAAATTTTTCTTTGGTGTTCAAGCAACTTACAATTCAAAATGTTTGCATACCACCTTTACATTTTAGCAAAGCAGTAAAGTAAAAATCATTATAGGAAACTCCTGTAAATCACTCCCAGCACTTTTTACTATATTATTGAGATAGATATCATAAACATCTGCATAAGCCATTTTGATCCTGAAACTAGTTTTAAGGCATAGTGTAATATTCATGTCTAGTTTTTATATTTGGTAATGAGTATTACTAGTTTTCAGGCTTTTGTACTATCCCTTTGTATTACATCTGACTTTTTAAAAAAAATGTATTTTTATTGATTTCAGAGAGGCAGGGAGAGGGAAAGACAGAGATAGAAACATCAATGATGAAAGAGAATCATTGATCGGCTGCCTCCTGCACACCCCCAACCAGGGATTGAGCCCACTGGCTGGCTACATCTGACTTTTTAAAAGACTTTACATGAGTCTGTTTTCTGGCAACAACTTCCTAAGGCATATGTCAAACTACACATGATTAATTACTTAGAATTTTGGCACTTAGTTTTTAAAAAGTTTAACTCTAGGTAGATTATTTCAGGGACTATTTGGAGGAAATCTTCATAATTTTAATTGTTTCATTTAGATAGAGAACTTCTTATGACTCCTTCATAATTGATCTATAGTACTTTAGTACTTATGAGTCCTTGTTCTTCTCCTTGAGACCTTCTTGTGTTAAAAAGTGGGGAGGGGGGCAATTAAAGAAACAAAAAAGTGAAGTACTTTTCAATATTAACTTGCCACTTTTAATTTTCTTAACTTATTTAAAGACAGAGTTTTTAAAAATTTTTAAATCTTTTTATTACAGTTTGCATTCAACACTTTTTGTACTAGTTTCAGGTGTACAGCATAGCTGATAGACATTCATGTAAATTAAGGACAAAGAATTTTGAAAGAACTCAGATTAAAACTGCAAATGAGGTCCATAAAATTTAGATGGATTTTGTGTTTGAAATATGCTAACAAAATTATATAATTTATTAAAAAGAAATTGCTCTATTAAAGGGGAAAAGGAAAGGAAATAACATATTTATAAAAATTGATGGTTGTCTTCTATAGTCAAATGATTTCAGTAGGAATCAAACTAAAATGAAAAGAAATTGTTATGGGAGTATGTAACAGACCTCAGAGCTTCACTAATTTATTCCATAAAATTTATATTTGCTAAGTCAGTCTATAAAATTTATATAGAGATAAGGTGTAATAGTGATTGGGGATTTCAGTTGTGTGACTGATTGCTGGAAACTTCATTTCCACTCTGAATAATAAAGAATAACTAGTAGAAATGGAAATAAAGAGAGTGCTGAGACTTACCAGACACATTCTGTTGACTTCAAGGAAGTAGATTTAGAAAAGGCCAGAGAAACGATACATATTATCCATAACTAGGGACTAAAAATTAATGGTGACTTTCAGGATGAAACACTTAGTAATAAAATAAACAATAACATTGAAAAGATACTTAGAAAAAATAAATCTGTGATCAATGGGAAGCAAACAGTTGTCTAAAAAACTCAATTTGAATAGTTAGCTAGCAGTGGAAAGAATGACATATATCAAAGGTAAGCTACATATGAAGAATGTCCTATTTTGTAGCATGCCAAGATCAACACAGAAGTATTTTAAAATTGGTTTGAAGTAAGAATATCAGAAAAGAAAGGCAGAACTACTGAGATCTTATTTATTTTAGGTGTTCTTTAGCAAGAATGATCAGTATGGCTGATGGAGAATTAGAGCCCTTTGGAGATAGCAATCTTTAAAGGAGTTTAAAGAACTTCAGGTCTAAAGAATAGTCATAATCTTTGATATATCAGAGAGCAGGGGGATACTTATAAGACAAATGTGGATGGGCAGTTGCAAGGGAAATGGACAGTAACCCTGATATAGATTCCTAATAAATTCGAAAGGAATCTTGAGCAAGAAGAGAATTGAGGTATTGAATAAAAAAATGTAGATGACATGATACTATAAATAAAGAACCCCAAAGATTCCACCAAAAAACTATTAGGACTGATAAATTAATGTAGTAAAGTGCAGGACGCAAAGTTAATATTCAGAAATCGATTGCATTTTTATACACCAATAATGAACTATCAGAAAGAGAAATTAAGAAAACAATTCACTTTACAATTGCATCAAAAAGAATTCAGTACCTAGGAATAAATGTAATAGCCAAGGAAGTAAAAGGTCTGTACTTGGAAAATTATAAAACATTGAAGAAAGAAATTGAAGAAGATACAAATAAATGGAAGCATATATTGTACTCATGGATAGAAAGAACTAACATTCTTAAAATGTCCATACTACCAAAAGCAATCTATAGACTCAGTGCAATCCCTGTCAAAATACCAATGGCATATTTCAAGAACTGGCATGAAAATAGACGCATACATCAATAGAACAGAATAGAGAGTCCTGAAATAAACCCACACCTATGTCAATTTATGACAGAGAAGGCAAAAATATACAATGGGATAAAGATAGTCTCTTCAATAAATGGTGTTAGGAAAACTGGATAGATACATGCAAAAAACTGAAACTAGATCACTTTCTTAACACCATACACAAGAATAAACTCAAAATGGATTAAAGACTTTAATATAAGACTCATAAAACTCCCAGAAGAAAAGATAGGCAGTAAACTCTTTGACATTGCTCTTAGTAATATTTTTTGGGTCTATCTCATTGGGCAAGGGAAACAAAAGAAAAAACACACAAATGGGACTACATCAAACTGAAAAGTTTTTGCATAGAAAAGAAAACGATCAACAAAATGAAAAGACAGCCTACCGAATGGAAGATATTCGCCAATGGTACATCCAATAAGGGGTTAATATCCAAAAGATATGAAGAACTCATATAACTCAACACAAAAAAACCCCACAAACACTCCAATTAAAAAATGGGCAGAGGACCTGAACAGACACTTTTTCAAAGAGGACATACAGCTGGTCTATAGACATATGAAAAGATGCTCAAAATCATTAATCTTGAGAGAAATGCAAATTAAAACCACAATAAGTTATTACCTCACACCTTTCAGAATAGCTAGTCAGTTTGGCTCAGTGGATAGAGCGTCAGCCTGTGGACTTGAAGGGTCCCAGGTTTGATTCCAGTTGGGGGCACATGCCTAGGTTGCAGGCTCGATCCCCAGTGGGGGGTGTGCAGAATCAATGATTCTCTCTCATCATTGATGTTTCTATCTCTCCCTCTTCCTCTCTGAAATCAATAAAAATCTATTTTAAAATAAAATTAATCCCCCCAGGATGCAGGAGGCAGCTGATAATGACTCTCTTGTCATTGATGTTTCTATCCACCTTTCCATTCCTCTCTGGAAATCAATAAAAATCTATTTTAAAAAATAAAATTAAAAAATTTTAAAGAAGAATAGCTATCAATAAATCAACAAACAAGTGTTAGAATGCGGAGAAAAGGGAACCCGCATATACTGTTAGTGGAATACTATAGGATACAGCATGGAGGTTCCTCAAAAAATTAAAAATAGAACTACAGTATTACCCCACAATTCCACTTCTGGGTATTTATCCTATTAAATCCAAAATACTAATATGAAAAGATAAATGCTTCTTTATGTTCATTGCAGCATTATTTACAATAGCCAAGATATGGAAGCAACCTCAGTGTCTATCAGCAGACGATTAGATAAAGAAGATGTGGTACATATATACAATGAAATATTACTTGGCCATAAAAAAGAATGAAATCTTACCATTTGCACTAACATGGATTGACCTGGAGTGTATTATGCTAAGTTAAATAAGTCAGAAAAACAAATACCATGTGATTTCACTTATATGTGGAATCTAAAAAAAACCCAAACAATAAATGGAGCAACAGATCAGAAACAGATTCGTACTTACAAAGAACAAATTGATAGTTGCGAGATGAGAAGGGCATTCAGGGCTGGGTGAAAAAGGTGAATGGATTAAGAAGTACCAGTTGGCAGTTACAAAATAGTAACAGGAATATGAAGTACGCATCTATACCAATGAAAGAAACATGCAAATTGACTGTCCCTCTGCTATGCCCACCAGCCAATCAGAGTGAGAATGCAAATTAACCCAACAAAGATGGTGGTTAATTTGCATATGTAGGCACAGAGCAAAGACTGAAGACAGCGTAGAAGGAAGCCAAGCGCTGCAGAAGGGAGCGAAGCTGCAGAGAAGCAAGCGGGGCACCAGAGAGCCGGACTCACAGCTGGCGAGCGCAGTGGCGGTGGCAGGAGCCTCTCCCACTTGTGTGGCAGCGCTAAGGAGCAGCAAGCAGGCTGGCGGTGAGGAGCAAGGGGTCCCAGATTGTGAGAAGAATGTCCGACTGCCAGCTTAGGCCCATGGGGAGCGGGCCTAAGCCGGCAGTCAGACACCCCCCAAGGGCTCCCCGACTGCGAAAGGGTGCAGGCTGGGCTAAGAGAACCCTCCCACCCTGAGTGCATGAATTTTGTGCTCTGGGCCTCTAGAAAGAAATATAATCAATAATATTATAATAACTGTGTATGGTGCCAGGTGGGTACTGGAAATGTCAGCAGCAGGACTTTGTAAAGTATATGATTGTCTAACCACTGTACTATACTCCTGAAATTAATATAATATTGAATGTCAACTGTAATTGAAAAAACATTTTTTTTCAAAAAGATTAAAGGAATCAAAAAGAAAATGGTAATTAAGAGAACACATCGTTTTTAAGAAAAAAATAATTAAGTAACCATATTTTTTTGTTTAATTTTTGCTTATAGTTTTTCTTTAAATGTGGTATCTATTAGTCTAAGTCTATTACTTCATATACTTATTGACTAAAAATTTTATTATATTTAGAAACCATAGAGTTATAGAAGGGATTGTGTTTTATGATTTGTACTTGAAGTGCCACTTATAAGACATTTGAGATGATAAATTTTGATGCACAGGATGGGGCAAAAGTAAATTTACAGTTTTAAGTATGCAAAACACAGTTTATTCTAGTATTATTATTTATTAATTATTGTAATATTTTCCATTCAAACATTTGTAAACCTACTTTGTGTAGAGTTATCAGTTACCTTTGGGTAACATGAGTTTATATAATTCTAGACTTTTTCATAGTATTGAAAAATTACTAGTTTATTCAAGTGACTATAGTTGCAGTTAGTTATTTTTGCTGGTCAGTAAAGTAATCCTAGTTTATTTAGATTATTATTCTATACTACTACCTTGAAGGTACACAATTAGTAGTAATATATAAAGCTTGGGATGGCTCCCTTTTGTTGATGTAAACATGTCAGTCTTAGAAGCCTTCTGATTTAACTCTTAAAGTGAAGAAATAATTTTTTTCCCATATTTCTGAGGGTAAAAACAGATCCTAACTTAAAAAAAAACCCTGACTTATTTTTCATATTCTTTTTAGGAAATTAAAGCAAGCCAATATGTATTTATAATAAATTCTGTTTATGAAGGTAATTTAGGTTTTCAAACATGGAAGCAAGGTTCTAATAACTTTACTTTTAATCTAATAACTTTTAATGTTAAAGAATATTCATAAGTAGCACATTTAAAATATTTGTTCTAGGACATATAATCATTTAACTTTTGCCTCACTGTGAGAGGAGGAAAGTGGAAGTTGAAAGTACATTATCTTGTACAAACAGCTAAACATTCAACTGTTTGTCTATTTTTTATAGATGGACGGAAACCATTTCCAATTAACCATGGTGAAACTAGTGATGAAACGTTGTTAGAGGTAAGAGTAAAACTTGGCCCACTTTAAGTGTTATTAATGTACTGGTTATCTTTGAAACATATCTAAAACTCACTTGTATAACATTTTATCTATATATGGATACTTCCTTGTCCTTGCTCTCTTGAAAAAATCCAAAAAGAAAAATTTGAGCTAGTGTTAACCTATAGCAAATAAAGAAGTTTTCAGAGCTCCTTGTGTGAACAAGTACCAAATTTGAAAAAGGCAAGAATAGTTTTGAAAGAGTTGCACATTGTATCCCATATTTCATTAGATTCATGATAACATCATTTGTATCTTGATCTTGATTTTAGAGATTTTTAAATTTATGAACAAATTGTGTGGCTTAGAATCAATGAAATGTAATTGTCAAGTTAAAAGTTTCTTAAAAGGATTTTAAGAAAGAACACTTACTGTATCTTATACTTTTGGACTAAGCTAATTAGGCCACGAAGTGTTCGTTCTTCTGGTGTGCTTTTTAGTTGTTCTTCATTTGGAAAAACAAGTGTGCAGTGTAACATTAGTACAAACTAGGAAAGTATGAAACACATGATTTGCAAGTAAAACACATGTTTATAAACTGAAAATTTATATTTTTCCCCTATAGGATGCCATAGAAGTTTGCAAGAAGTTTATGGAACGTGACCCTGATGAATTGAGATTCAATGCAATTGCTCTTTCTGCAGCATAGTTTGTCAATAATGGAAACACCAAGTACTGTATTATTTTGCAACAAAAATTTCATTTCTGCTGCCATACACTATCTCAAAAATTTTGATATTTTCATTAACTTGAATGATTAAACTTTATGTGAATTAAACTTTGACTTAATCTGTGTTTTATATACTTTGTCCTGAATTAAAGCTGCATTTCTTTTCTTCCCTTTCTTTCCTGTGAAGGATTTAGCTTGGTTGATGACTAGAAATAACCTTCTTATCCTCCTTAAAGTTTTATGGTAAGTTTTGTATTGGGACACAGACACAGTTTCCATCTGCATAGTGTGTATATACAGTGTCCCAAAAATATGTATGCACACTTTTAACAGCTGATAGCTCAATTGATGTTTCTTTTTAGCCAGACTAAGCTTTGAACAAAGGAAATTCATCCTAAATGCTATTGGAAGTTTGAAAATACGGTTGAAGTACAAACACTGCCTTTATACTAATTCAGTGTATATGTATTTTGTAGACTCCCTGTGTTCCCAAAATGTATACATGCTTTAACAGCTAATAACTCACTTCATATTCACTCCTTTTCAGGTTTAACTGATTGAAATATGGGTGAAGCTTTGAACAAAGAAAATTTACCCAGTAGACTTTTTTATGGGTATATATATAAAAGGTAAAGTTTACTGTACAAAACTGGGAACAGTCACCAAATGGAGGGGACACAAAAACCGAATGAAATGATTCTTGATGTTTGTGATTTCACATTAGCAACAGTGCCTGGACCAGAACGGTTATCAGTTTGAAAATAGGCACTGACAAAAAAAATTATTAATTTCTGTAGATTCTTTTAAATTTTGAAAATGAACTGTATGTTAATAAACACTGACTATAATCATTCAAAGTGTGTATACACCTGTTGGGGACACCCTCTGTATATCACGTGGTAACATTTATTTAGCAAACATTTGTTGAGCATCTAATTGCAATGAGCTGGACAGCGTTCTAGGTGCTGGAGTTACACCTGTGAGCACTGTTGACAAGTTCCATCGTCATGGGGCTTATGTTTTTTGTGAGAAGAGACAAATGAAACACATTAATAAGATACCAATCTTATTAATCTATGCTACCAATAGATGCTATGCAGAAAATTAAAGTCGGATTTGTGTTAGACAGTCTGAGTGTCTACTTTAGATTTTGTGGTCAGGGAAGGCTTCTGTAAAGAGGTAACTTGGAAGTTGAGCTCTGAATAGCAAAAGTAGCCACTAATAGAAAGGTGGTGGGGAAGAGAAGAGGTAATAATGCAGATCCCTAAAGTGGGACTATGTCACTGTGTTGTAAGACTAGAAAGAAGATTCATGCGATCAGAATACAGGAAGTAACGGAGAAAAAGGAGGGGCTTAGTGATACAGAAATACAGGAAAAGGCATTGGATGTATTACAGCTGTGATGGTAAACCCTTGGAAGGTTTTAAGCAAGAGAGTGACCTGATTTGATGTATATTTTTAGGAGGTCACTGAATTCTCTGGATAATATTTTGGGGTGGGGTAAGAATAGAGGTAGAGCGGAGCCCACTGCATTTGTTCAGTTAGAGATGATGGCCAAGTCGTGAAAGTGCAATAGTTTCCCTTATCTGAGGTCTTGCTTTCCACGGTTTCAGTTAGCCATGGTCAAACAGTCTAAAAATATTAAATGGAAAATTCCAGAAATAATTCATAAGTTTTAAATTGTGCACCATTCTGAGTAGCATGATGAAAACTTACACTGCACTTCTCTGTCCTGCCTGGGCCGTGAATCATCCCTTTTTGTGCATCATATCCACGCTGTTTGCACTTCGTCTGTTAGTCACGTAGCCTTCTCAGCAGTTCCACCATCATGGTATCTCAGTGCTTGTATTCAAAGGGCAAGAGAAGTGATGCTGGTAATTCAGATATGCCAAAGAGAACCCATAAAGTGCTTCCTATAGGTGAAAAGATATGTATGTAGAGGAAAAACGTATTTGCTGTCATCCACAGTTTCAGGTATCAACTGGGGTCTTGGAACATATGCTCCATAGATGAGGGGGAAGTGTTATAGTAGTAATTTAGATAGAGGTCTAAATTACTTATAGAGGTAATTTAGATAGTGGATTTGGGGGCTGTTTTGAAGAAGGAAGGGTTTCAGTTGAGTCTGAAAGGATAGGTGGGAGGCAGTAGGAAGGTGGCAGGGTTATTTACAGAGCTGGGTCAAAACAGGGTTGTGTGATGGCAATGTCCTTCCTATAGCATTTTGGGGGAGAGTATTGGTTACACAGGTGTATACATGTATGGAAACTCAATGAATGAATTCATTTAAAATCGGTACTTAACTGTATATTCATTTTACCTTAAAAATTTTTTTTAAAAAGCAGAGCCGAATTGGGTTGGCTGGAATCAGTATAACTTTTAGGAGAAAGACTAAATTGGTCCAGAATGAAGCTCTTGATAAAATTGAGTGTAAATGTTTATATAGGATCCACTAAGTTAATGTAGATTCCTGAGACAGTATCATGAGGTAAGTGGTATTTTAGGCAAAGTATTAGGGCCATGGCTTGCAGAATGGATTAGATCTTTGTTATTATTCTAAGTATGGTTGCATCAATATTACCTGGAAACTTGTTAGAAATGAAGAATTCCAGACCCCACCTTAGACCTACTAAATCAGTAAGATCTTACTACATTTTATGTAAGATCCCTGAGTGAGTCATACATACTAAGTTTGGGACTATACTGAGGAAGATTTACCAACTTTCTATGGTGAAGAGGGCTTGAATGAAGCGATAGCAGTAGGAATGGAGAAATAATCTGAAGTAATTCGATAAATTATGTAGCTGATGCTTTTGTCATGCCAATTAACAACCACCTAATATTATATTCTTTTGTTACATTGTTTGCATTTTGTATTCATATCTGTCTTGCATATTATCTTAAATATTTTAAATATTTCTGAGCAGTTTTCTACCTGTTGCCCTGCAAGATTTCTCATACTATATGATTTCTTAATTGGGCCTTAATGACATCTCACTAAGAATTTACATAGTTTCTCAGTATTTAATATGAAAATACTGTCTTGGCCCACTGTTAGTGGATAAGAAAGGGTTGAGATTAAGTACCTTTTGAAAATATGGGGTTAAAGTTACTTTTTAAAATGTAGATATATTAAGTGGGGACAATTGCAGAACTCAGTTTTTTTAAAAAAAATTATTCTGTGTTTTATGAATATCATTTCTAAACATTTTCTGGAGCAACATTTAGAACTAGCATTCTTTTGCACACACTTTAGGATAACAGTCCTGCTGGGGTTCTTGTCCCAGCATCAAGAAGGGTTCAGGAATCTGGAGAAGGCTGTGCATAACTAGAGTCCAGAGACGAAATATAATTTTGAAAGGCATTGGGGGTCAGAGGAGCCTAGCTAAAGAAACTAAGATCTCCTTGTCTCAGGACCCCATGCTTTTTATTAACACAAATTGTCATGAAGCGAGGCAGAGATATACACTTCAAAGGGTAGAGTTTCATATAGAGAGACATTGTCAGATCGGGGGAATTAGCCTGCGGCTGTTCAAGTGTTTGGCCAGTAGGAGGGAATAACATGAAGATTGCCCTAGCCGGCTTGGCTCAGTGGATAGAGCATCAGCCTGCGGACTGAAGGGTCCCAGGTTCGATTCCAGCCGAGGGCACATGCCTGGGTCTCGGGCTTGATCCCCAGTGGGTGGTGTGCAGGAGGCAGCTGATCAATGATTCTCTCTCATCATTGATGTTTCTATCTCTTTCTCTTCCCTTCCTCTCTGAAATCAATAAAGAAATATATTCAAAAAAAAATAACATGAAGGTTAAGATGCCCTGGGCTGTCTGGCAGCAAGCAATCATCCCTTTTCACGTTTGGGGAAATGCTTTTAACGATTCCCAATAGGCGATAACATATGTGACTCAGCCCTTGTTGAGTCCCCAAATTCCATCAATCTTTTGATGAAACTCTTGCAATTATGACATGTTGGAATTGGCTTCTGGCACAGTCCCTTGTGGAATATAAATCTTGAAAATTTTCTTTGGTTTCTCCCTTCTTAGGTTATATCTAGAATTTTAGTCCTTCTCCAACTCTATTTCTAGCAATACTTAGTTTAATCACTTTTTTAAAACTTAGCACTTATAGAAACGATTAAATTTGTATGGAAACTTACAAAGAGACACTAAGAGTGATCAAGTTGTGGCTCATTTCTGTATATTGCTGTTAATGACCATAATACATGCGGGCAATGAAACTTAAATGGGAACTGAAACTTGAAATGTTTTCACTTGGTGGACTTTTGGAAATTGACTAAACATTACCTTTCACCAGACGTAATGGTTTGCTTTATATTATTGAAACAGAGGAGCATTTATGAACTCGACAATATTTAACCCCTAATATTTTCCATGTTCATTTGTGATTAAAACCAAAGTTCAAACTAATATATCTTAACTGGAAACCATCATTAATGTATAAAAATTATTTAAAGAAATCTGATTTATTTGTGTTTACTACTTACTAGGTAAGCTTTATCATTGGGTTGTACATGACATACAACCTGCTTGTTTAAATAGTTTGAGAGATTTTCAGCCATTAATTGTCTTTCAAAATAAAGCATCTATAAGCTTAAGATTCTTGCCCTGCTGGTGTGGTTCAGTTGGTTGGAGCATCCTCAGGCCCATCAAAGGATTGTGGGTTCGATTCCCAGTTAGGGCACATACCAGGTTATAAGTTGGATCTCTGGTTGGGGCATGTGTGAACGGCAACTGATCGATTTTTCTCACATCTATGTTTCTCCTCCTTATTTCTCTAAAATCAACATTTTTTAAAAAAAGATTCTTATACTGGCACTTGCAAGAAAATTGTAAAGGGGGATAGTTTTGTTGCCTTAATAATAGGAAGCAAAAGGAGGCCAGACATTATTAAGCATGGTCATCTGGGCATCTTCACTAGGAAGCTGCAATTTCACTCTCCCCAGGGAACCAAGGGTCCATTCCCTGCAGATCAATAGGGGAAGGGACTAGACAAAGGGGAAGATGGGTGCATACAAAGTAAAGTTGGACTGATGCAGGGAAAATACGTGTCTGTCAGTCTAACCTGGGAGCAAAGGTCATTGGCTAGAGGGGTGGGGCCCATG